GCCAACCCTTTGAAAAAAAAAAACCTCCACCCTGACAAGGGGCCATGCGGGTGTATAAGTTCTCAGGGACCCTCGCGTTGTCAACCCGTTGCGCGGGGTTTTTCCGCAAGTTGGCAAGGAGCAGTAGCTGCATAGTTGCTGCCTCGGTTCTTGGGAAAGCTTTGCGTCGAGGCCTCGCATCTGGTCGGCTGTGGAAGGCCTCGCTATGTCCTTGGCAGTGAATGACGCCCGGGGCATGGCGAGGAACCTGATTGCCGGCAACTCGGGCAAAAGCGGCTTCGTAACTTCGCATCACGGCGGGAAGTTTCGATGTCACTGTGTTAGGCCATGGGGGCCACGGATGCCGCGGTCGATGAGTCTACCTTGGCCTCCGACGTGGCCAACGTGCTGTCGAGGTGAGAGTGAAGCAGAGAAGTAGAGAAGCAGAGTTCGGAGTTGTCTTTTTGTTTGAGATGTTTTTTTCTCTTAACTTAGTTCTTGCGTTCAGGATCGCAGGCTTGGAGCCCGAGGCCCGAGGCCAATTCACATCCTCAGGAACAGTGATGAGCCTGCTGGTGCTGTCTGCAAGCTGCGTAGCATTGCGCAGCGATGTAGCTGCATGACGTAGCTGCGTGTGTGTCACTGCCGCGGGTTGTTTTGGGAATGGCTTCAGTCACGGGTCTGCCACCACTTGTGTACGCTTATTCTCCTTTCGGGCTCGCTCGAGGTTCCGACACTTCAATGCCAAAGCTCAGGGCTTCCATAATTGCAGAATCGGGCAGCGCAGTCTCTCGCTCTCTCCGACCGCCTCCGGTCTTGCACTCCCAACAATCAGCTTCCATTCCAGCTTGCCGGGCAGCTTCCTGCAGCAACTTCGGCAAGAAGCGGCAGCAACTGCTCATTCCGCCATCTTGGCTCCTGAAATCTTCAGAACGTAATGCAGCTACACTTAATATGTTTAATGTTTGTTCACATTGGAACCTCCGAGCACTCTGAGCACAGTCGTGCAAGAAGATCAGCATTTCACATCTGGCCGGCTTGAACTTCCACCAAAAGCTTCACTTTCTATTGTGTTTACTTCCGCAACTCTACATCCTGTTGCTACTGATGCAAATCACGCTTCGTACCCTGTCCCACAGGTTGCAAGTTTAACGTGGATAGCAGGAAACTCGAGCACTTTCGCATGGCAACCAATCTCTTTGGAGCACTTGCTGAATCTATCTGATCCTACTCTCATGGGACAGCATGCTTCAACTGTATTTTTTGCAGCTCTTGACCCAAGAGTCACTGGAAAATGCAGGGCCTGTTCTTGGGCTAAATCACTTGCTTCCCGTGCTCGGTGCCTTGGGTTGCAGGGTTTTGCTTCTGAAACGCGCCCGAAAAAAGCACCACTGGCTCACAAGTCTTTACTGCATATATAATGCTTTCAGAACCTGATGATTTTCAGACACTTTCAGGTGGTTTTGCGAGGAAAGGGCGATGGCCGCTTGGTCGCTGAGGACGGACCAGCAGCTCAAGAAACTATTCTCTCAACTTCTGTCAGCAGCTGTAAATGTAGGTCGCCCTTGACAACGAGCAGGTGGGAATTTTGTGGGACTTCTGTGGCCATTCGCGATTTTGCAATCAGCTTCCAATTTTGCTAAGACTTCTCTGAGGTCACCGAGCTCCTGCTTGATGTGTGAGCCCGAGTCGAGTCGGCAAGCAGTCGGCAGTTGCAGAGCGGGCAAAGCAAGCACCTCTTTACAGAAACCGAGAAAGTGACCGAGTCACCAAAGGATCTCATGCAGTTGGCCATAGGATGCAGCCTAACAGCAATTTGTGTTTGTTAATAAACACTTACCATTATTACTCCATATTTTTATGAGGTGGCCAAACATGAGAAGGGGTTAAGGGTCGCAGGTAAGGAGGTTAAGGGGCAGCAAGGAGCTGCGCACTGCCCGCGCAGAAGCGGAGCACGGAGCCAACACGCACCTGAGCAAGGCAAGGATAAGGAAAGCCTAAGCGACAGGGACTAGGGAAATCCAAACCAACTCCAAACATACGGCAGAGGCTGCCAGGAAAGTTGCACGCAGCAAGAAGCTGCAGCACAGGTAGTGCTTAGACACACGGCCAGCGCAGGAAAGCGCGCAGTCAAGACACACCTGAGCAAGGCAAGCCAAGAACCCTACGGGGAAGTAAACCAAAGCCAACCCTAAGTCATGGAGGTCAAGGGGAAGTTGCAAGCAGCGCGAAGCTGCAACACGGGAAGTACTGTGACACACGGCTAGCGCAGGAGCGCAGCACGGCCAAGGACAACTGGAAAGGTGACCGTCAATCGGGGCCCCGAAAGTGGAAGTAATGAGGATGCCAGGTCGCGCGCACAGGAGAAGGTGACGCACCGGTGGCGATCCATCCGGACTTTGCCGTGACCCAGGGCTGCAAAATCCAAAACTTGGGAGGAACGTGCCATCGGAACTCTAATGAGCGATGAGCGCCATTGAAATGCGAACGCTCTGCCAACAAACGGCGAGCGGAGCACCGAGTTTCGGCGCAGAAGGGGCAGGCTGTGAATAAAGAGTTCCTGTAAGCGTGCCTCCGTGTCAGCGTCCAAACTGCTCCAGACCGAAAAATATTGAGAAGAGCAGCCTGGTCGAGGGTCGGGGACTCGACCGAATCCACGTGGGATGGCTGGAAGCTTCAAGATCGAGAGTTTCCAAGTAAGAAAACTTTCAGCCCAATTGTAGTCCTTGTAGCAGCCCTCCCTCGGGTTGCAAAGAAAGAAGCAAACTGAGGACCGAAGGATATATCAACGCCTCAACTCACTTGTCTAATGACCAGCGGAAGCTTCCAAACATCAATGCAGAGCTGCTATGAGCTGCCGAACCTGGTGATTTTCGAGCAGACTTCCCCAGCTCCATCAAAGCGAACTGGCCTGATTCAGTGATGGTTCCCGCCCAAATAGGTTAAATTGCAGAAGCCAACACGTTGTTCAACGCGTTTTTGCACCGAATTTGCTAGCAGGAAGGTGAAAGGTAGTCCGAAGCAGATAGCCTTCCAGCACAGATGGCATCTCGTCTCGGTAGGACTGACTTGTTCTTTGCTGCCCAGTGACAGATTCGGAGCTAGGCACCTGTTAGCAAACTTACGTTTTCTCGTCGCAGATGTCACTACAGCGTCAACAGAGTCAAATCCATTTGCAGGGAGCATCCAAAGGGTTTGCTGAACAGCATAATCCCAGCACGGGACCTGGCAGTCTGCGACCGCCGGCTGACTGCCAGGTCGCATACTCGCTCCCACGCCACATCCCAGCCTGTCCCCATCTCAAAGGTCTGCCGAGAACTGCCGCATCACCGCATCGGCTCCATACCACACAGCGCCGGGAATGGAAGTGGATGTGGCTGTTGGCCTGCTGGATTAAAATACGGGAAAGGTTTCACCAGTGCAAGCCACACCATCTGCTGCAATTGCTGCAGTGCGGTGCTGCGTCTGCCGTGGGGCCTGACACCTTTGATCGCGCGCAGTGGGCGCAGTCGAAGCATCGGCGCCATCCGAGGCGCTTGCCGCCATGCTTGGAAAACTATATATAGGCAAGTGGACAAGTGCAGCAATCAAAGGTAGGCTCTGAGCGCAACAAAATGGGGGCTGGTGCCCCGGGGATCGGTTGCTACCGCTGGAGGCTTGTTGCTGGATGTGATTGAAACAATTTCCATGCTAGAGATCGATGCAAGGAATTGTTGAGATAATTTCCGGTCCAGAGGTCTATGCAGGTGGCACAGGCCCATGGTGGTACCTGTACCAGTATATGGGGGAAGTCGAGATTGATCACCTCCGTGTACCTGGATCTAGATGCTAGATTCTTGTAAGCTGCGCTGTTGCATTGGTTCGCAAGCTGCTGTCCCTGTCATGATGATCATGGTACTGCTACATAGATGGTGCCTCGTGACATGGACTTTCAACCCACCTTTGTGCAGAGATTTTTTTGGCCATGAAGGCGAGAGACATGTTCAGCCGCTTCATGCCAGGGGCTAGTACTAGAAATATATTGCATGTTTTCTATTCTAGCAGGTTCTGGCACCACCATGCACCACCATTCTCACTATACTCTTCTTATCAGGCCAAGGATTCAGGTCGACCAATTCGATAGATTCCAACAAGCGCGATTTCAAGCATTTCCGCGTGTGGTTTTGTCTGGTACCACATTTGCTTGCGTTGTAACGAACAATCGGGCGCTTCCCGCAGCCTGCGATTGCTCTCCCGACCACATCTTGATGGGGCTTCGCCTCCTGAGTCGTGGCGGCCTACAACTCCGCAAGTTTCGCTGCCGCACTGCGACTTGCCAGCGCTTGCTGACGCATGCGATGCAGACCCTTGAGCCAGCGCGCCTATACCGACATTCAGCCATGCTTGGATGACAGGCGGTCCAGGCTACACTGGCCGGAGGCCGGTTTGCACAGGCCTTCAACGATTTGACACTCCACTCAGCCACTGCATATGCAGTAATTATGAGTACAGCTATGTCACACGTTAGCCCTTTGTTGGGGAATGCCCCTTTCTTGGCCCGCTGCTGGCCATAGCACGCCCTGGTCTTAGACTCGGCAGTCATTTACAGACGATACTTCAAACCTGCAGGCCCCTTCTTGCTGCTTGGCTGATGCAGCTGCCTAGCTAGCTGCTAGCGTAGGTTGGTTGGCTTGTAGCTTCAGGCAGTCTTTGGAATTCCTATTGCTGGAGCCCTTTGGTTTGGAGCCAGAGGGGGCCTTCGAGACGTGGACCACACAAGATTAGCGAGAAAGAAAAGATTGCCCTCGCACAGCCAAGCACGCATGTCGAAAAACCCAACCCTCGCGACCACGTGGCTGCATGTCGCCCCTATCGGGAGAGTCCCATGGCCTTTATCAAAGCCTTCCATGGCTTGGTAAGCCGGCCAATCCTTAGTGGCTAGCGTGGCGATCATCAAATTACTGATTACTGGTCTTTATCAAACTATTTGATGGTGCTTGCCGATGCTCGGGCCTTCATGCTGTCAGCAGTACGACTCGCTCTGACAAAGAGGGATTACTTTCACTTTGGCGAAGCTGGGTCCGCGTATCGAAAGTCGCCAACACAGCTTATGTTAAAGAGCGGCATTTCGCAGATCAAGCATGTAACTGCATGATATGTCAAACTTGGCCAATCTTGCGAACTCGTGGATTTCACTGTCATTTTCTAGTAGCATTTATTTGGGCATCAGCAAATGTGAGAAGTGCCAGCGAACTTGTAGAGTTTCGGGTGCCATTTGTGTGATCCGAATGGCATTTCGTTCCATCAGTAATCTCACCACTATGCAAACCATCGCCGTGACCGCAAAGCCTGAGCAGCAACCAGAAACGTGTTGATCACATGATGTTCCTTTGAAAATAACTTCACTCCAACATGATTGTTGTCCCTCAAGTTCAGGTGGGTGAGGCTGGCTTTTGCAGCCGCATGCGTGGGCATGCACCAGCTGCGAAGTGATCACTTAAGCAAGGACCGTGCTGTTATCGAGAAGGCCGAACAAAAGCGCTCCATCTCTCCGAGCGCATTCTGGAATTCACCTCCAATCATGACGTCAGCTTCATCAGGCCAGTAGTAGAAAGACATTCGGCTTACCTGCGGGCTGTTTTTCCTGGGGACTATGGACAAAGACTTGCTTCCCGTGCAGCGCAATAATGGCAAGAAGATCAATTCAGTATATCACTTGCCCCTTCTCGTCGGGCACATCGGACCTGCAAACGCGCTAAGCATAAGTTTGAGTAGGAGATGCCCAGTTAAATTTCTACTAGAGCATTGTGTGCCAATTATTTTACCTTGGTCCCGTTGCCACAGCATGGACCGCACCAAAATTGCCAACGAGATACGCTTCCAGAAGCCGATGAAGTCACGCCCTAGTTGACTAGGGCTCACATTGTTCTGAGGTGATCCGTGTGGCCGACAAGAATGGTTTGAAGCTGCCTCGAGAGTTTGCCTTGCTCATGAAGCAGGCCTCCATCAGTTCAAGGCCATGAAGTATCCTGTCATGTCGTGCTATGTCGTGCTGTTGCTCAGGCTTTGTATTTCGATCGTTACACGAAGCTTCTGGCACCGGCCGGGCCCTGGCACGAATCCTTCAAATGTGGCCAAGAGACCCAACAGCTCGTGGAGGATCTGGATCCTCTGCGGGACTCTCGCGTGACTCTCGGGAAAGGCCAAGGGGTGGAGGAGCATCTTGAGAGCAGAGCAGTGAGCAGTACCATGGCGTTAGAGTCTCGAGCCGTCAGCTTTGGCTCAGCCCAGCAGTCAGTGGAGAGTTTGATCCAAGAGGGAGCCATAGCGAGCCTTATGGGAGCAGTCAACAGTGCGCAAAGCACATCGCTGGAGAGTCAACAGGCGATGCAGGCGACGCAGGCGGAGAGCTGCTTAGAACTCGAGATCCGAAGCCTGTCACAGCAGATCATGGTCTCAGTATTTCCGACCACGACCTGCGCGGACCTCGCTGCGATTATTGAAGCTAAGCTAGGCCTCTTGGACTGCAATGCGGCCGCCACGCAGTTTGAAAGTGCGCATCAGTCTCTTGTCCTTGAGGACTCTCCACGGAGCTGCAGGACTGGGTGCCTGAGTACGAGAGCGCCGGCTCGGGCGGCTCGGGGGACAGGCGGCTTCCGCGGCTTCCGCGGCCACGGCCAAGCTCCTCACAGACTCTCCTGGCAGAGCTGGCGGAGCCTCCGGCGGAGCTCGGGGATCTTCAAAGGCTTCCGCGGTCTCTTACGGTCCTCCACATTGGCTTCAAGCCATTGGTTTGCCTGCCTGAACGCTTCTTGATTAAGCTGTCTTCCTGCAGACGAAGACTAACTGGCTGCTCCAGTGCTTTTGCCAGCCTATACAAGATCCGTGGTGACAGGGCAGCGAGCCAGATGGTGCTCGAGCCGTGGAGGATGTAGGGTGAAGCGGTTGATAGTCTTGACTGGCCAGGCTTTCTTTTCCAACGCAGAAGTGTTCGAGAAACTAGATTGGAGTCCACAAGCGGGGGGGGGGGGGGGGGGNNTGGCTTCTCCGAGGTGAACTTCTTTTCCCGAAACAAAGACTCTTGTTTGGCGAGGAAGAATGATCATGACCAGTTCATCTACAACATACGGGATGGCATCAAAAAGTCCATACGAAGCCACTGGATGTCTGGATCTACGGAGACGGAGGAGGCTTTGCCTTGGGACAAAAAAGCAGGATCTCAAATTGAATATGCTTTGCAAATGTTGAATCTCAATGTTTCGGAGGCCTTGTTGGATGACCCCTTGACCGAGCTGATGCAGACCTGGCGTTCTGCTGGCTGTCGCGGGTGTCGCGCTGAGGCATCCGACCGCTTCTGGAAGGACGCAGAGATCGCAGAGATCTCGAGCGCGGACGCCGCGGACGCCGCTTGCGCCGCTTGCACGGTTGCCGTTGCAGGGCGTCCGAACTATGCCGCGGTGCCAGGTTGGTTCACTGCCCCCCCTGATTGCACGGAGATCATCTGCGAGATTGTGATTGGCCCCGTGAAGATCCTTCGCCTCCTCATCAACCAGGAGAAAGGGGGTACACATGACACAACGTATGAATGTGTATGAATGACATGCAGCTGCATTTAGGCATTGAGAGGGGGAAGCATGGACAATGAAGATGTTGAGTTTGATCCCTTAGGATGGCAAGGCGGTCCGAGCTGCCGTCTTCAGCAAGCGGTCAAGTCCGCTGCACGAGACACGGCCGTGAACAGCTGGGCCATGCCTCCTTCTCTTCCTCTACCTCTTCCTTCTCCTCACACACTTGTGCAGATAAGTGACAACCCAAATCAGCGTCACACCCAAGTAACTTTTCTATCACAGCCAACAAAACTGACAGGAGTAAGACATGTCTGTCCACTCACACTTTGTCTCACGCTCAGTCCCTCTAGATCTCACCCTTTTCGCTCCCTTACTCTCGGACTTGCACTCTTGCAGTCTCTCTCACATTGCTCTCAGGAGGAGATCGAGGAGTACGATGTTGAAGTTCAGGAGCTTACCTCAGGCACAACCGTGCCCTAGCGGTGTACAGGAGCACGCTGGAATGGAAGCAAGACAAAAAAGCCCGACAGCTGTCCGGTTGTGAGATACAGCAAGCTGCCGACTGCGGAGATGGTCACGTTGTCACTCTGTAGGTGCTCGGGACGGTCAAGTCATTGATGTCTGAGGGTGTTGGCAAAGTTGCCGTTTCCTGTTCCTACCTTCCACTGGCCGATGGTCATCTCATTTTCAGCGCGATTGTTTTTCTTATTCACGCTCCCAGAGCAGGGCCAGCAGGCCTTACGTTTCACAGCTGCCTGAGATGCAGCGGCCCTTTGACTGTGTGAGTCAGGTTTGCATGCTGCTTGAGACGCTAACAGCAAATGGGGCAACAAGCTGACCGGCACAGGATTGTTTTAATTTCGTGGACGGGCTATAGCGGGGGGTGGGCTTGCGCAGGCCTGGACTCGTGCTTTGAACACATCGTGTGAGCTTTTTCTCCCTGATCCAACCTTGTCGCTGTACCTTCAGCTTGGCACAAGTGACCAGGCGCGGTACCGAAGCCCCCTGTGAGCTGAGAAGAGAAGTCAATTGTAGCCGTCAGAAGTTGAGAGCTGTGCTGAGAGCTGCGAGCCATCAGAGCCATGGCCTTTGCGTTTCGATGCCTGCAATTTCTGTTGCCGGTTCTACCGGTGTTGGCCACTCTCGATGCCGGAGAGAGCCTGGAAAGCACTACATTATTGGAGCTCCGCAAACGCTAGGACCCCAGAAATGCATCCCAAGCAAAGCGTGAAGGGTCGCTGAAGGGACAATAAAGCGTTGATCCTGCCGAGTCGTTTCAAGAGTAGGTAGAAGATGTAGAAGCCAAGAGTCGCTCTTTGTACTTACATGGTGACACCGGTAAGCAAGGTGAGCGCGTTGGCTGCCATATGTTTGCATGTTTGAGCGTGCTTGTTTGCTGAGGTTCCGTGAAGCGGCCTTTGCTGGTGATCCATGCTGGGCTACACAAAACAGGCACCACCTCCTTGCAGTCACTTGGCTTGCAAAGGAGGTCGATTTCTGCCTGCACTGTTCCCATGCTGAGGCTGTCCATGAATACCTGCAATGAGCCTTGGTGACGACTTGGACGTGCCAACATGTCGCGATGACATGCGATAACAGTGCTAGCGGCTCTTCTAGCGTCTAAGGACTGGGCAGGCACTGTGGGAGTAACTTCTTTGGTCTTGGAAGGACAGCAATAGAGAGATTCAGGGTCGGAATGCTGAAGCTGCTTTGCAAGTTCGAGGACAGCCGAAGAAGGTGAATCACAACTTCCTGGTACACTTCGCAGACTCTCTTGGTTGGGAGTTGCCCCTCTACAAGGACAGCGCGGGTGGGGCTGAGATGGCTTTAACCAGTTCTGAGACCATGAGCTCTTGTCGCTGGTCCTTAGGAGACGCTGGAGCTCCGCAACGAAAGTGCCTACCTCCGGAGCGTAGCTTCATGTAGATTCCTATAGGTTGCGGTTGCGGTTGGGAAGTGAAGTGTGTTTTTGAGTGCAGGACCTGGGAGAAGTTGCGGGCCTGCGAAGAGCGGCATTTCGCTGGCCTGGCGCCCTGCCGGGCTTTGCTGTCCTCGGAGCTCTTCACGGAGGCCCAAGTCCCGGCCCCTCGGGCTTTGGAAGCTTCCCCTCTTCCAAGAGTCACTGACGGCGCTCTGGCGCGCTTTCACGGTGAACTGAGGTTTGGCAGTCCCTCTTCGAGAAGTTGCCCAAATGGGAGGTGCGCGTTCTGATTTTCCACCGCTACTACCCGGCTTGGCTGCTGTCCCTCTATGGAGAGTACCAGAGGCAATGGGCATAGCTGCATAGCAAAAGCTGAAGCATGTGACTCGACTTGATTCCAGGGACTACATGGTGGACACAGCTCACAATCCCATGTCCCTGCTGGAGTTTGCACCCTGGCGGCCAAGAAAACCTCATGTTTTGGGCGACTGTATTACCACTATGGGCTATTAGACCCTAAAATTCCCTATTAGTACCCTAATAAGAGTAGAATGGGGTACCCTTAAGGTCGAATAGGCTAATGGCCCATCCTGGTATGTACCAATTGCAGACGTCAGGCGCTGGAGGGACCCGGTGCTCAGCTGTCTCCACGTCGCACCCTTGAACGGATCCAAGAAGCCTTCAGCGTCTGCAAGGGTGGGGACAGTGCCCAGTGCAGTGTGCAAGGCGGAGAGCAGCATCAAAGTGACGTTTCGGTTCATCTTCTCAGCGCATGAAGTAGGATGCGAAACTTGCAGGTGCTTCTTACGACATCTTCCAACATCAAGGCAACTGCAAGTTTCACACAGATGCCCGTGGAGAAGTTGGTTGCAGCTGTTGCAACCACTTACGGCCAAATGGGGCTTGCTCTGCAAGGCTACGACCAGTACGAGTACCTGGTCCTTAACGTGACTCTCGATCTCCAAGGCAAAGACTTCCAAGCGGCCCCTCGCTCAGCCCTCTCCCAGGGGACGAATGAATGCAGAAAGGTTCTTTAGAAGCTCCTGTGCAGGCCAATCGAAGCTTGTGGGAGGGTTGCCCACAGCGTGTCCTGACGCACGCATCGCCACCCAACCTGACCCTGGCTGCCCTCTCCGCAGTGGATGCTATTCGCAGGCCTCCGCATGCCGAGCTACCCCCAAAACGCTTCTAAGGCTGTTGACATCGTCCGCCTTCTGAAGAATTCTCATCAAGCTCGAGGGTGCACATCCCAATTTCTGCTGTCTGCCTCGAACCCGGAAGTCCTGGAGCTTGCAAACAAGGACTTGTGGGAAGGATGGATAGCTCAGAACGCACAGCATTCGAAAAAAAAAATCCAGCCAGGAGATCTTGCCGGTGACCTGCATGGATATCGGGAATCTGCTTGCGGACGACTCCGCCAGGCTGACCGTATCTCAGCATCTGCTCAGGGAGTGCAGTCTTGAAGACAAGAGCTTGTCTGCGAAGTGCTTCCGAATGAATCTGTGGCAGGTGGTTTGAAAACGCGCATTTGACACCCCCCACCTACCACAAGGACTCCCAGTTCTGTCAGATCAAGCAACAGGCACTTACGCCCGAACATTGGAGAGTGCGGCTTGGCTTGCAGTTTTGCAGCGGCTTGCAGCTTGCAGTACCTGCAGTAGCTCCTTTCTGCGGTAGGGCATTGGCTTCTGAGGATGCACGCGCTGACTTCGGCATGCAACGATGGATCAGACATGCGGATCGCGAAGGAAAAGAGCACTGGTGAGCAGGGTGAGCAGCATGCATCCCAGGCCCCGGCGGCCTCAAAGGCCTCCCACGCGTGGCTGAAAGCAAGCCCGAGCATTGCGAGCATTGGTGACCTCAGCCGAGCTTCTCACTTGGCAACAGAGGTGGATGCTGGGCGGAGCTTCTTTGTGCAAAGCCCAGTGCACCGAGAGGCCGAGAGTCCTGCGGACAGCTGGCAGGCAATGCTCAGTGAACAGGCTTCTTCGGGTGCCTCTGTGGGCACCTTCAGCACACTTGGCAGTCGCACATCGCCGCCGGCCTCGGGGTCTGGAGCTTTACCGGATGGTTTCCTCTTTAGTGGCAAAGACCATGGCGATGGCGCCTCTGAGGGCGCCTCTGAAGCTGTGGCTTTCTCCGAGCGCGGCTTCAGTGTGCCAGTGCTCTCGGAGAATCCTCCGACTCTGACGGCCGCTGAAAGCACTCCAAGGACTTTGCCAGGTGACAAAGAGACCCTCTTTGGTGAGGCCGTGGAGGGCTCGCAGAATGACCTCGTTCTCAGTGCAAGCTCGGGCTCTGGTCTTGAGGGTCTCTTTGGCGAGGGCAGTAGCCAGTTACAGATCAGCAGCTACGTAAGTGGATACGATGGCTTCGACTCCCGGGATCTCAAAAATGTGAAGCAAGTGCAGCTCCCTCAGGCACGCGGCCTCAACGAATACGAGAAGCCCGGAGCCCAGCAAGCCCCGAAAGCCTGGAAAGCCAAACCGAAGAAGGAGGCCGAGCCGAAGGCCGAGAAGGCCGAAAAGGCAAGGCCAAGGCCCATCATGGCCACTCACTCCACTCACTCCACTCACCCAGCCGCCTCCTTTTCACGGCCGTCAGAGGCTTTAGGTCACACAGGCACTGCGCAGCACAAAGAGCACAACGAGTTGCTGGATCGTTTGGACGGCATCCCCCAACAGAAGCCGGGCCTGAAGGGGATGGCCGGCGTTTTCAGCGATGAGGCGGCTCGTCCAGTTGTCCGAGTTATGGCAGCCAACTGAAGCTGAAGGCACTGAAGGCCCTTTGATTTTCTTCAATTTTGTGTTTAGCTCGATGCTAGCCCAAATGGCCTCTCCCAACGGAGAACGCTGCAATTGGGCGAGCCAAAGGTTCTGAAGCCAACGAGTCCAACGAGCACCTTTGCCTCAAAAAGCTGTCCACCATGTCAGGGCCATGTTGCCTGCATGCTTACTAGATGCCTCTGCAACCAGCAGCTAAGCTGCCAGGCTGACTTCTTGGTGCCAGTTCAGAACATAAGAACAGAATGCACGAAAGTCACTTTCTACCTTGGATGGATTGTTGTCAGGGCTCCCTAAAATTTACCCTAAAAGTCATGGTTACCGACCTATCTTCAATTGCATCAAAAGTTTCATTTAGCTCCTGTAATGTTGTTGAATGCGGATGTCATCGAAGGTTCTCAAATCCCACAAGGTTGCAACATGCCCGTCCGTGCTTGTCTTGAGTCAGTTCTATCGTGCCCTCTGTGGCCAGCTGAAAGGAACCTGAACTTGTTTCTGTTACTGTTGTGCGGAGAGAATGGTTGGCTTGCGTCGCTTTGGCTCTCAGCGGCAGGGCACAGGCCAGCGTGGAAGGACCCGGGCCAAAGCCTTCGGCCCAAGCCTTCCCCGAGTGCCAGCCCCGAGTTTGTCGAAGAAAGTGTCCGCCCATAAAACAGTGCAATCTTTGGCAGTGAAGTGCGAACAGTCAGGCGCCATGACAGAGATGGATGGAGTGATTCGTGAGCACGAGGCAAAGGGCGCAGAATTTCTGTCCGACAAATGGTTGCTCGAAGTGATGAGGGCAGGGACTGCAATCCCAATCTGCATGAAGGTCTACTTTGCGACGCTTGCAGAGCAGGCTGAGCGTTACGACGAGATGGCCGAGCATATGCGAGCAGTTGGAACCTAAGGACCTAGGCTGCAAGAGCGGTCTCTGTAAAATTCGCCTGTTAGGCAGCGCTCTTCGAGCAAGAGCTAGATGCCGAGGACCGGCACAGATGAATCATGATGACTCCTGCATGTCTAACAAGCTGAGAGCCCAGGAGCGGAATCTCCTTGCTGTGGCCTTCAAGCAAGCGGTTCTGGCCTGAGACGATTAGCCTCTTCAGCCTCTTGCTCTTGCTTTGCCTTCACCGGTTCGTTCTGCCTATAAGGTGGGCCAGCGAAGAGTAGCTTGGCGCATCGTTTGTGCTGCCGAGCAGGAAGAGCAGGCCAGAAAAACCGAGAAGCAGCATGCCCAAGCCTGCAAGCCTGCAAGCCTAGGCCAAGGGCAACCACATGACCACAGCCAGCGCCCGCGGCTACCGGAAGAAGGCACAAGAGGCTGAGGCTTGGTAGACACGTGAAGTGCCGTTTGCCAGATCGAAGCCGAACTCACGAGCCTCTGCCAGACCATCCTGGCCTGGGGGCCTGGGCTTACGAGATTTGACGAGACTACGGGAATAGGGGAGGTGCCATGAAGTGACGAGACGTGATTTGGACTCCCTTTCAGGCGCTGCTCACGGACAAGCTCATCCCCGGTGCCACGACAGCAGAGGCGAAGGCGCAGAGATGCGCAGAGATCGTAATGGAGCAGATGGATCAGGGAGGGTTGTACAGTGCCCAGCAAGGTGTCCTACTACAAGGCGCAGGGAGACTACTACCGGTCACAGCCTCCATTTAGCACTGTAGCATGTCTTGACAGCGTCTCAAGGCCTGTGGGGGCTCGTGCTGTTTGAGGTACATGGCGGAGATCAGCGATGACATGGACAGGACGCGGGCGACGACCGCGGCGAAGGCGGCTTACGAGGCAAAGGGCGAAAGACGAAAAGACGAAGTTGAGGTTGATTAGTTACTTATAGTTAGTTAGTTGGCTAGTTGAAGTTTTTCGTGTGTTTGTGTAAGAAGTCAAACTTGTTTCAGGACGGCACGAAGGTTGCTGAGACATCACTGAAGGTGACCAGCCCCTTCCGACTGGGCCTTGCCCAGCTCTAAAAGAGAACGGTCATTAGGTACTCTCAGTTTTCATGCACTGACCATAGGCACTGAACCACGCCGTCTTCTACTACGAGGCCTTCGGGGTCCTCAATCCCAAAGAGCCAGCTGTCAGAAAACGTTGCCACCGTTTGGCTCAAGCATGGTTCCCATTACGATCTCTGGGCACATGAGTCTGAGATGCCTCCACTTTCCGCAGGCTGGCAGAAACTTTGCTTTGCGTGCGCTTTCGCAAGCTGGCACAGAACAGAAGTTTTCAGGGAAGATCCCTTGCTCTTCGCTCTTCGCAAAGGGCTTTGCCAAGGCCCAGCCGACAGGAAAGCTCAGAAAGAGATCAAAATCAGAATGTTCCTCTGATTCAGGGAGGTGATGCCGTTGGGGAACCAGACGGTACGCATCTTTGTTAACTTGGACGTGGTGGCTCCAGGCAGCTTCCTGTCGTTCCTGCGCCAGGCGCAGCAACGACACACGCTACCAGATACTCCTAGAGGGCTGTCGCATGCTGCCGCCAAGTAACAGAACTCCATGCAACTTTTTGTTGGGCTGCGCAAGTCTATGTTTCATCAAACGGCGCTGTTTGCAAAGCTGCTCAAGCTACAGCCTGTTTCAGGTGTGTGGCGTTGTGACGGTTGCCGTCTTTGCAGCGCGGCGAAGGCGGCGGCCAGATGAAGCGAAGTCTTTGCAGCGCGCGGTGCTCAGTGCCATGGTGATACAAGTAGAAGCTGATGAAGATCACTCGGGAAAACAGAACACGCCAGGCTGACCGAAGTGGAAGAGGAGGAACAGTCGAATTGCAAAGCAAACTAAGAGAACGTGCCCAAAAACGCACTTCCGTCTACGAGGCGTGCCCCAAGTCATCTTCCTAGCCCTTGGAACGAGGCGTGCCCCAAGTCATTCCTACCGTAGGAACGAGGCGAACCAACTTCATTCCTACCGTAGGAACGAGGCGTGCCCGAAGCCGCTCTTGTCACCCCTATTGTAGGAATGAGGCGTGCCCCAAGTCAGTCCTACCGCAGCAATGAGGCATGCCCTATACGTCATTCCTTCCTACCGAAGGAACGAGGCGTGCCCCAAGTCATTCCTACCGTAGGAACGAGGCGTGCCCCAAGGCATTCCTACCGTAGGAACGAGGCGTGCCCCAAAACATTCCTACCGTAGGAACGAGGCGTGCTCCAAGTCATTCCTACCGTAGGAACGAGGCGTGCCCCAAGTCATTCCTACCGTAGGAACGAGGCGTGCCCCAAGGCATTCCTACCGTAGGAACCAGGCGTGCCCCAAGGCATTCCTACGAAAGGAACGAGGCGTGCACCACGTCAACGTTCCTACCGTAGGAACAAGGCGTGCCCTAAGCCGCTCCTGTGGCTAGGTGTAGCATCGATGCCTCGCACATCGTGCTGGGTCTACATGGCTGGTGGGTCTCAGCATCCAAACCCCAACAAGTGGAGCCCACCGTTTGTCACTATCAGTGTGCCTTGGCTGCCGGAGTGGATAATCAGTCCAGGGACTCTTTTTCCTTCTGGATCAGCTTGATCATTGGGTTTCTGCTCGTGGGCACGAACCTGGCTCTGGCGTTCCGAGTCACCCACCAACAACCGGAAGGGGGTGGCAAGGAGATCATTTTTCGGTAACAGGGAAAGCCCGATAAAGGCATCTGTGCGGCGCTGAGGGGTATCCAGCTCCTGGACCAATAAGTCCGGTCCGAGGGGCAAGCTACAGCAGTCTGGAAGAGTCGGGCGTGGCGGCGCTTGGTCCAAGGAGGTCGCCTTCGTTTAGGTCGAAAAAAGTTGATCTATTGTTTCGTGCCACGCGCAATCAGGGCACTTTCCAGTGCCCCTCAGTGAGTGTCTGGCCCTGATCAAGTCCTGCTTTGGGCAGGGCTTTAGCCGTGGGCCTTGCCAAGGGTTCGGCGTCCTCGAGGTCATGTTCCATCAGCCGCGTAGACGCTTGGGTTTTGGAGGTGTGCCCCTACAGGGTGGAAGGTTTCGTGGGAAGCTGTCGGAGAGACATCATTGTCAACGCCAAGCGTATGGACAGTGCAGACAAGACTGTCGCGCTTGAACAAATCTGTGTGAGGGATCCTCCGCGAGGCAAGGCCGTGGCCTTGGAGTGCCTTGGAGAGGGCGCGGGTTAGAGCACGTGCCGCAGTGGAGCCCGACCGAAGATTCTTGGCAGGAAATGCAGGGTTGTCCCGGAATATGTTCCTCGCAATGGACGCCAGTTACCTCTCGGAGAAACACATCGTCTTTGCGCTCCTGCGCCTTCTGAGTCAAGGGTGGATATGCAACAAGTTGCGGTAATGAATGCAAGCTCTTCTCGTGATGCGCTGGTCACAGGAAGTTCTGCTGGTCGGTTTTCCACGGAAGTGACGGGTTCCGCTGTTGCCGTTGGCAAGCGGCCACCTTTACTGTTGTCAAGAAGAGTGCCAGGAAAGTGTTCGGTGAGCCTTCGTTCGAGGGCAAGGTCTCAGACCGCTCCAAAAGAAATTGGCCAAGGAATGGTGCAAGGCGAGCAAGCCAGGCGATCTGTCAGCAACTCTAGATCGCAATCCGTGAGCACTGAGACTGAGTCCGTTACGCTCCATCCAGGCCTTTTTTCGTAAAAGAAATCATCAACAAGCTGCGTCCGAGAAAATTCGGTTTTGCCGCTGCCAAGGCCAAGGCCAAGTTTTTGAGCTTCTGGCGAAAGGATAATGAGTAAAAAACAAGCCTGTACAAGCTAAGTGTGGGAAGAAAGCGGCTTAGCAATGCCCTCAGCTAACTGCTAACTGTCCTTGATGCTGAACATTCAAGAGGAAGACTTCTAGCGTACGTCATTCATGATTTGGGACCTTCACCTGACGCAGCTTGCTACAGGGCGTTTGCGAACTGGCCGCGGCATCTTATGCAACGCGGCGTAACGACAAACCCAGTAAGAGGCCTACATGTTGGCTCTGGTTGATCGGACTGTCTCTACGCGGTTAAGCACCTCAGCGGTCATTTCTGGTCCAGGCTCCGCGTTTGAACCAACTTTTCGCAAAGCTGGGTGAGGTATCCTCCCCGGTCACGAACCCTGACAACGCTTGCGATATTTTCACAGCTTTCAGTTGGGCTATCAATGGCAATTCCAAGGACTGTTGCAAACGCGAAGTGGCAGGAACGCATGGCTCGGGGTTTCGTTGCTTCAATCCGACAAAGTCTGGGAAGCAGCATCCTCCTCTCAGCAGGCTCCAGCATGGACATATTGTGCAAATCTTTGGAAAGCAAGCAGTGTGAGGTTCTGCCTTCAATCACTGCCTATCTCAAGAAAAGCAACGGCCACTGCCTCTCACGTTCTCCAACTGCACCCGCACAGTGGCTGCCACCTCGGCGTGCAGGTGTGTTAGTGTCCGCATCGAGGGGGCGTGCAAGTGTCAGCACAGACGCCACTTGTTTTTCACTACAGCATTCTGATCCTCAATTCAAGTACTTATTTGGCTTGACTTGTTGATTGTTTGCACACTTGCCATCTTGCGCTGTTCAAGTTTCTCCCTCCAGTGACGAGCCTGCATTTGCATCGTTCAGACAGAGATGCTGAAAAAAGAGTAGCAGTGTGAACCATGTGCCACTTGCCAATTTGAATGCAGTTGCCATCTGACCAGCTTCAGCTAATCTGCAGCTGATTCGCAGCATGCTTTTACATTTCATTTGCCCGCCACAGCTCGACTGGATTCGCGCGAGCGTCGAAATGCGAAAATGCTGCTTTTCTTCTTCTTGTTCTTGTTATTGTTCTTGTTGTTCTTGTTGTTGTTGTTGTTGTTGTTGTTCTTGTTCTCGGTCATTCTTCTCGTTCTTGTCTTGTTTCTTTAATTGATGTTGCTATGGTAATTGCTCTTGCTTGCGCCATCTAATTTGCCACCAAGTTAACTTGCCTAAAGCTTGCGGAGCAGCCCAACATGCGCTACTTATGAGGTGTCAGCATGTGATAGTGAGACCTGGTACAGTGGCCCCTTGAGCACACTTGCAGGTGTTGCGCCGCAGAATTCGCAAAAACAGCAACAGAAGAACTGCATCATGTACGCTTAGGAAGTAGAATGCATTCTACAAAAGTTGTGCTTTTTAGATCTTAAAATTTCACGTGCCCCAGGTGCATCGAACATCGACCTACAAGGTGCAACAGACTTGGGACTGATCCAGATTGCTGTTGCAATCTGTATTTCCAGCAGGTGCTGGCGTGGATCGGTCCCAGATTTTCAGCTTCCAGACCGAAACGTCCTCGGATGTTGCGGCAGATGCCTTGCTTACCCTGCTCTACAGCAAGCATGCAGGGGCCAGGACAGTCATTCAGCCTTCGCAAGCTGTCATGATGACTTTCAAGCGACAAGTTGCAGGAACTATTTGATTTCGGAGACCGCATCGACAATGCGTCAGCAATGGTTCAAAGAGTTGCTGGTTGTCAATTCAGCGTGCCAGACAGTTTGGTTGTCAGGGGACCTGAAACTCCAGCTGACGGCCGTGGACTGTGTTCCAGAGCGCCCGAAAGAAAAGAAGCTGTGCATTTCAGCATGTGAGGCCTTCACAGGGAACAAAGGTGAGTTGTTCATGCTATTCGCTTCACAACGTTCAGATTTCCTTCATGCATTTTTTTTAGCCAGGTCATGAATGCTCCCACGGAGGCTGTTCGAATTGGCCGCAAGGCCGGGCCGTTCCTTGCCATTTTGGTGCAAAATCAACCAAAACAATGTCTGCTCAGCATAGTGATCTGCAAGACATGTGCGGACGATGTGTTTTGTCTTGATCAGCCTTACCATGCTGTAATGCTGTTGTCGATCTCCCATAATTCGGTCGCGCTTTTCCGACTCCCTTTGTGCAGCGTTCAATTCTGCTGGAAGCATATTCATTTGACACTTCAAGTGAAAAGCTGGCTTGTGGCTGCGCTCCTCGTCCACGTGCTAGAGGCCTTCGAGGACGCAGTGCGCGAGATTGACAACCTTGGCGAGGATGGTGCAAAGGAGCGGAAGGGGTCTCTCGCTCGCTGCACTTGTCAAGAGAGTAATGTTAATTGGGAATCGTCATAGCGACTATAGCATGTGTAGCGTGCAACTCAGAAGCTGCGAGGAGAGCGCGCTGGTGATGCAGCTTCTGCGCGACAACATCACGCTCTGGACAATTGCAGCAATCCTCATGTAAGCTCTTTTCGCAGATGCTACGGATTCTACAGCGAATGAACTTCTGGACCATGGGCTGTTTCACCTGTTGTTTCGTGTGTTCCAGGACATCGGATCCCACCGGCTGAAACTCAAACTGAGCTGAATTTGCTGCACTGCTGGAAAAAAGTGCGGGTTTTGGCCCCTGCAGAACTCACAGGATATTGCTTTGAACACTTGGACAGAGCAAAGTCTTCCACATGTTCTGTTGGCGGGAGCACGATCCAGTAGTCACTTTATGGGCAGAACAGGAACAGGAAGGATGAGGATCGTGTTTGGGACACCGCATCCTTGCCGTGGCATTGAGAACTTGCTATTTCACGGCAAGTTGGCGAAAGAGCTTATATGGTACTCGTAGCTACTTTAAAGTTGTACTAACTTCTGCAGCTGAAAGAGGCTCCAAAACATCGACTCGTCTGGAAGCCAGGGACATGATCTTGAAGTGTCTCACGCAGAAGACCTCACGTCTGTCGCTGTGAACCACATCATCTTTGCTTGATGACGTACGGGTACTTGAAAGTTTGCAGAGCTGCTGAATCAATTCAAGTAGCTCTGTCTTGATCACCCGAGCCTCCGGGCCTTCGGGACTAGCTGAGTTTCTTGTAAAGCGACAGCTTGCAAAAGGGGCTTGGGCGAGAGACCCTCCGCCGGCTGGCCATTAAGTAGGCTGCGCCCATGGAGGGATTTGCCGATCTGGCCGGTGGTGCTTTTTCTCGGTTTTGCACAAGAACACGCAAAGAACATGAGGTTAAAGGGACTTCTACTTCTTTCCCATCCTTGTCAAGCAATGGTAGCCACTCATTTTGCAGATCTCTTACTTGCTCCAGCATAAGCAACACAGCTTTGGAGGTGTACGAATGTATTGATGAGAGAGCAACAAGGGGCTTCTGCAGATGGGCCATGCAAGCACGAGATTGTATCTTTCCCTCCCAGATCCACAAGAAAAGCATCCCCAACCAGGACGCCCTTTTGAGACGTGTCCATTGTGCAGTACCTTTATGCAAATCATCCCCAAACCATCTGCTGTGCCTGGATATGCCGGAAGATCAACTTGCCATGACCCCTCCATGCTGCAAGCGCTTCTCAGTACACATGCTCGCATGTCTATCCAGCCACTTGCCCCCAAGTTTGAGTTGCACAGCTGCGGGTGCGCTCTTCGTGTCAAGAGGGATGAGTCTCGGATCTGCAATGTTCCTGAGGACGGAACTTTGATCACTCAGAATGTCTGTGCACACGGGATGAAACTGTGCCGAAGCCAGAGCTGTGTGGGCTTCCAAGGTTGCTGGGATCCAAATTGTATTTGAGCTTTGTTACCTTTGATGCGATGTACAGTTCATGATGCTAGATGGCGTGATAAGGCCCATGCCCTGAAGAGGAAAGCTTGACAGCCAAAGATAAAGAATGGGGCGGGGAAGATCCAGCGGCGCAAAGTGGCATAGCAGCACTGCATCCAACTTGGTGCCCTCGTGGCAACCGTCTACCGGAATCGGTTCGGAGACATGCCAAATGAACACGCCGGCAGTCCAGGCATCTGAAATGAGCTCGGCTCTCTCCAAATGCTTGCGAAAGACCGCTTTTGGCTGCCCCGAAATGCACAGATGCCTGCCTGAAGCAAAACTCCGCGTTCAGGCCGCCACTCATTGGTTCTAGTTCTCCGCCACCCCACATATTATGTTGAGCAGGTGCGCTGCTGGCGCCACCGGTGTCTGGTTGTGAGGACGCAGATCGAGACCAAGAGGTCGCCTTTCGGATCTGCGCGGAACGCGCAACACCTCCATTTGTATATGGACGCCATTCTAAACTTCCGCAGGAACAAACAGTTCCTAATTTATTCGCTAACGCGAGACCGCCTCGGCACAACCTGCTGAGTGGAGAGCATAGAGGGGCAGTTGTGACCGTGGTGGCCTGGCCCCCGGCACCCCCATACATGTTAATTCTGCCCATATGTATACTCTACACTTTGTTGAAATGCTTTAAAATGCCCACGCGCGAACGTTGGCGCAAGGCAACCCTAAAGCTGGGGCATTGATATTAGAATCCACATGGACAAGCAACTTGCATCTCTCTGCATTCTGCAAGAAGTCTGCAGTCGCTAGGAGAGTGATTTTGATTGGATTGTGGCATATTGTGGCCGTTTTGGCTTGATTTCGAAGCGTATACCAACCGCAGCACCAGCCTTGGTTGCATTTTACACGAAGCGCCGCAGAGTCGCAGAGCTGACTTCAAGATTCCTCGAGGTTTCTCGCCATGTCGGGCTTCGGGGAGCGGCTCAGTCAGCGGCAAAAGGCCCGTACAACTGAGATCGAAGGTTTTAAAAAGCACCTTGGATGTTCGATTGTGAGCTGCGAGGCCTTCAAGAAGGGGGTCGATGCCGATGATGCCCGGCGAAAAAGAGAGGATGCCGCAGTGCAGCTTCGGAAGCAGACCAGGGATGAGGCCGATGCTGCAGCCCGTTAAACAGTACTTAAAATGTACTTGATCTAACTTTAAGGCGAGGGCTTTTACTCTGTTCCTCTCACGTTCCTCTCGGCATTTTCTGGAAGTCGGAAGGCTTTGATGAAGAAGCGGATGGTCAACGACTTGCCTCCAGCCTTTTGCTTAGAGGTTTTGACTATGTGGAAGCAGCATCATCTCGCGTCACACAGGCTGGTCAGATGCCCGATCCCATGGCAATGGCACAGATGACCGGCTGGGGTCTTCTTGCTAAGCTGTTCGAGCTAATGCTGCAGAGCGTTCTCATCTCCCTCAGGCATGGCAACGCTGCCAAGCAACTGTGCTGTGGAGCAAATCCCGGCCCTCAGCCAGGCCCTGATGTCCGATGACCCCCAGGCTGAGCAACCAAACAAACCCAACACCATCCAACACGCTGTTTGCGAAGTGCACCTAGAAAGCCGTGCAGGCACAGTTCAATGCCACGCAGCAGTTCCGGAAGCTCTTGAGCATTGAGCAAAACCCACCAATCTCAGAGGCTGCGGGCTGCGTCTTGTGTGTTTGTCTTGTTGTCTTCGCATGCCGGCTTTCTGCTTTGCAGTTTGCAGGTCATCAATGCTGGGGTGGTGCCCCGCTTCGTGCAGCAGCAATCTTGAAGAAGCAGCGGACCCAAAACCCGGCGGTAAGAGTTGCTCTTGAGGTTCCTGAGGGAGATCAACCGGCCCGACTTGCAGTTCGAAGCAGCCTGGGTCGGACTCCCAGCTCATCTCAGCTCAGCTGGCTCAGCCGGCTCGGGTGCAGGATATCATTGTCATTGCTGCGACACACAGGTGCTCACCAACATCGCTTCTGGCAATGCAGACCAGACCCGCGTCGTTGTAGAGCAGGTGGGCACCAGCCCGCATTGCAGCTGCCGGCACGCATTTGCGCCACGTAGTCGTTCTTGGTTCATTGCAGATTGACACATCGTTCGGTGTGCAAGGGAGCGCTGCCCATCTTTGTGCAGCTGCTGCAGGCTTCGAGCGGCTTCCGCAAGCTCAGTTAACACTTCATGTTTTTGATTGGTCCAACTCCCATGCAAAGATGATTAGACTGCTGTGAGTGCCTCGGGTAAGACCGGCAAGTGAGCAGATGGAAAATAGTTTGACAAGCTTGAGTGAACACAGGTCCTGAAAATAAGTGTGCAACGAGGTTTGGGCTCAAAACCGCACACGCTTGTGCTAGCATGGAAATGAGAGATGTTGAATACTTGGAGATGGAAAGAGAGGCCCGGGCTCTTCCAACCGCCGCCCCTGCCGCCCCTGCCGGCCTGGCCTGGCTGGATGAGTGGCGATCTGCATGGCAAGCATGGCAAGCTGGGTGCAGCGGTTCCTCTCAGAAGATCTTAATGGATGAGGAGATTCAGACACTACGGACATTGTCCGCCTGCTTGCACGAAGCGGATATCCGGCTGATGGAGGTTCCTTGACAATAAAAAAACCAGATAGGAGCCACGAACCCGAATGCAGACACGTGTCCCGTACATGCAATGATAATAACACCCCACGAGCGAAACCA